GTGTGTGTGTGTGTGTCTCTGTGTGTGTGTGTGTGTGTGTGTGTGTGTGTGCAGGTCGTGGTGTGTTCGGCGAGGTGTTTCTGGCTAAAGCGAGGGCGATAGAGGAGACCGAGCCGGAGACACTGGTGCTGGTCAAGAGTTTAGAGAGCCGAGAGGAAACGCACCGATCTGAGTTCAGACGAGAGCTGGAGATGTTCAGCAAACTCAATCACGCTCACGTCGTGCGACTGCTGGGAATCTGCAGAGAAACCCAACCTCATTACATGATCCTGGAATACGTGGATCTGGTACTGAACACATTCAAGTGCTTTATTAATTCCATGCAGCAGTCGCGCTTATGTCTGAATGTGTTTGGCTTATGTACACACAGAACACACATTTCATGAGTGCTAATTCTCTTTCACTTAATTAGCAGTATGAATAATCTTAAGTCAGCATACAATCCTGCACACTTCTTAACCCTTGTGCTGCTGAAAAACCTTTTCCTAATCCTGTGTTTCCAATCAAAAATAACCAGCCAGCCTACAAAAACTCCTCGTGAATCTCTCATTATGCTATATTTTCACCAAATCTTGGATTCATTCTTTTTGTAAAATTGTTTCAGTCAGCACAGGTTTTGTGTTTCTTCTTGGAACTGATTGGTCGCAGGTCTCAGTGATCCTCAGTTCTTGAGTGAACACTGACAAAATGATCCACAAATAATGCTTTTTTCAGTCAAAAGCTGAGGAGCATCAGCTCGGATCAGTGAGGATGAATTGGCATGTATGTCTCTGTGTGTCTCTGTGTCTCATGTGTGTCTCTGTGTGTCTCGTGTGTCTCTCTGTGTCTCATGTGTATCTCGTGTGTCTCTGTGTCTCATGTGTGTCTCATGTGTTTCTCTGTGTGTCTCTGTGTCTCATGTGTGTCTCTGTCTCGTGTGTGTCTCTGTGTCTCATGTATGTCTCTGTGTGTCTCTGTGTCTCATGTGTGTCTCTGTGTCTCATGTGTGTCTCTGTCTCGTGTGTGTCTCTGTGTCTCATGTATGTCTCTGTGTGTCTCTGTGTCTCATGTGTGTCTCTGTGTCTCATGTGTGTCTCTGTGTCTCATGTGCATCTCTTTGTGTCTGTGTCTCTCTGTCTCGTGTGTATCTCGTGTGTCTCTGTGTCTCATGTGTTTCTCTGTGTCTCTCTGTCTCATGTGTGTCTGTGTCTCATGTGTGTCTCTGTCTCTCTGTGTCTTGTGTGTCTGTGTCTCTCTGTGTCTCTGTCTCATGTGTATCTCGTGTCTCTCTGTGTCTCATGTGCGTCTCATGTGTTTCTCTGTGTCTCTCTGTCTCATGTGTCTGTGTCTCATGTGTGTCTCTGTCTCTCTGTGTCATGTGTGTCTGTGTCTCTCTGTCTCGTGTGTGTCTCTGTCTCATGTGTATCTCGTGTCTCTCTGTGTCTCATGTGTGTCTCATGTGTTTCTCTGTCTCTCTGTCTCATGTGTGTCTCATGTGTGTCTCGTGTGTCTCTGTCTTGTGTGTGTCTCTGTGTCTCATGTGTCTCTCTGTGTCTCATGTGTGTCTCATGTGTTTCTCTGTGTCTCTCTGTCTCATGTGTGTCTCGTGTGTCTCTGTCTTGTGTGTGTCTCTGTGTCTCATGTGTCCTCTGTGTCTCATGTGTGTCTCTGTGTCATGTGTGTCTGTGTCTCATGTGTGTCTCATGTGTTTCTCTGTGTCTCTCTGTCTCATGTGTGTCTCGTGTGTCTCTGTCTTGTGTGTGTCTCTGTGTCTCATGTGTCCTCTGTGTCTCATGTGTGTCTCTGTGTCATGTGTGTCTGTGTCTCATGTGTGTCTCATGTGTTTCTCTGTGTCTCTCTGTCTCATGTGTGTCTCGTGTGTCTCTGTCTTGTGTGTGTCTCTGTGTCTCATGTGTCCTCTGTGTCTCATGTGTGTCTCTGTGTCATGTGTGTCTGTGTCTCATGTGTGTCTCATGTGTTTCTCTGTGTCTCTCTGTCTCATGTGTGTCTCGTGTGTCTCTGTCTCATGTGTGTCTCTGTCTCATGTGTCTCACGTGTGTCTCGTGTGTCTCATGTGTCTCTGGCTCATGTGTCTGTTTCTCATGTGTGTCTCTCTGTTTCTCATGTGTGTCTCATGTGTCTCTCTGTCTCATGTGTCTCTGTCTCGTGTGTGGCTCATGTGTGTCTCATGTGTCTCTCTGTGTCTCGTGTGTGGCTCATGTGTCTCTGTGTCTCATGTGTCTGTGTCTCTGTCTCGTGTGTGTGTCTCATGTGTGTCTCTGTTTCTCACGTGTCTCATGTGTCTCTCTGTGTCTCACGTGTCTCTGTCTTGTGTGTGTCTCATGTGTGTCTCATGTGTCTCTGTGTCTCTCTTTCATGTGTGTCTCATGTGTCTCTGTCTCATGTGTGTCTCATGTGTCTCTCTGTGTCTTGTGTGTGGCTCATGTGTGTCTGTGTCTCATGTGTCTCTCTGTGTCTCTCTTTCATGTGTGTCGCATGTGTCTCTGTCTCATGTGTGTCTCATGTGTCTCTGTGTCTCGTGTGTGGCTTATGTGTCTCTGTGTCTCATGTGTGTCTCGTGTTTCTCTGTGTCTCTCTTTCATGTGTGTCTCATGTGTCTCTGTCTCATGTGTGTCTCTCTGTTTCTCACATGTGTCTCGTGTCTCTCTGTGTCTCATGTGTATCTGTCTCATGTGTCTCTTTGTGTCTCATGTGTCTCTCTGTCTTGTGTGTCTCATGTGTGTTTCTGTGTCTCATGTGT